CCCTAGTANTGGATTTCTGGGGCTCACCCTAGGGAGAGTGGAAACCAGTATTACTCCCCAATGCGGGTCAGCGACGGTAATTATTCCACCCCCTGGTGTCCAAACATTTACGAACACCGGGCCTTCTCCCACCCTACAGTTGTACCTCATTTGAGTCCATCATCAGTGGTCATCAGGAGCCGACAAATGGCAAATGACCAACAAATGACGTACAGATGACCAAAGCGTAATAACAGTTATAGTGATAATGATAGGCCGCCCAATCTTCACTTTCACCCGCATCTCCGTCCTTCGTCACCTCCCCCAAACACGTTGAACCTGATTGCTAATTAGTGGGCCGGTCGCTAATTGCTATGGTCACTGATTAGGGCGGGTATGCGGTGAGCATAGTTACATGGTACGGTGCCACTTTTGCCGCTAGAAGGTTGGATCGTTTTTCGACGTTTTTGCTATAATTCTATGCTTAGGAGCAAGCAGGTGATTGATGTCATAGGAGTGTAGGACTTGGTACATGTTGCAAGAAACAAAGTATTGTGATTATGACCCATCGTCCCTCTCATTACAGCCTTAATGACAAGGTCCTCCTCTTGAACACGCACACGTGCACGCATGCACCAGCTGCAAACATACCCCTCACGCCTTGTACCAGTACTTACCCTCAACCACGCCACAGCAAATCTTCATCGCCAGATGTTTACATATATTTTCTCGATAATTACTGTGCACACCTCTGTACTGTGTGTACAGGGAGCAGGGGCGGATTTAGGCCGTCTTCTGGGTCTTCCCGAAGACGGTCAGATTTTTAAGTTTACATTGACGGGTATCTAATTTTTTCAGTCGGAAGACGGTCAAAAATGGGGGATGGCGCAACAAAGATAATTTGGAAGACTGTCAGAAAATATCTCTGGATCCGCCACTGGGGAGTCACCTTCCAACTAGCCCCTGGGAGAGAGGGGGGAGAGAGCACCGTCTACTAGGTTCACAGATAGACTTTACACTAGCTATTCACATATGTCAGGGGCGAATCCAGGATTATTTGAAGGGTGGTTACGTGGATGCGAAGCCGACATCCGAACCCCCCCCCCCCTTTGGCGGTTGGTATTTTTGAGGGCATTTGATACGGTTTAGAACCATTATCCAGCTAGTCAAAATTCTAATTTCATGAGGGTACCATTGGCGTGATTTTTCAGAAATCGAAAGGGGGTGAGGGGTCAGGACACCCTGCC